AAGGACAAGGAGAGAAAAAACAGCTTGGGGGGGGGGAAGGGGGGAGATTTGGATCTGGAGAGCAGAAGAGAGAGAAAGATACAACTGCCAACAGACTGGGTGGTTAGTGTACATGTACACAGCCTGGGGGTGGGGATGGGTGAGCACAGGTATTACAGAGACATAGCTCTCTAAAAACAAATGTCCCTGTTCCCCTTGGAATCAAGAAGTCTGGCTTCAAAACTCATAACCTATACTCAAATCAGTAAGACTTCCAAGTAAACGTTCATGGGAATAAATATATGACGTTATGTAGTTACAGATGGAATGGCATCATGGCCAACAACAGGAGGTCAGAAGACCCCAGTTTACCCTTCAAAGAGGGGCTAATCCGGTTCCTGGCCATTAAACAAATCTGGATTCTCTGAGCTTTATTCTCCCACCTGTGGTTTGGGATCATAATATTGGCCTAACTAGGTCATAGGCACGATAGATGTGAAATGTTCGAAAACTCCAAAGTACTCTCCTTTGCTACATATTGTGATCCAGACAATAGTTCTAGTGTATGTCCTACCTCTGGCAAACTGGTCTTGGGGGAATACCGACTGCTTCACTGAGTGGTGCTAAAATATACTCCTGCAGTTCCTGTGTCTGTAAGGGTATTTTTACACATGGCTGTTAAATCAGTGTCCCTCCTCTGTAACATGTGTGTAAAATCTACATTGGCAGAAATGTACACTCAATACTGGCTTTCTGTTCTGCATTAACATTCATATGGACAGCCACAAATAGTGGGGAAAAGACAAAGAAGAGAAAACTGTGGAATGCCCTCTTCTTGGGGTCTCAGTTGGCAACAATATTGGCATCATTTAAGCCCCAGGTCAAGGTATACTGTTTAATAGAGCCTTTGGGGGTTGGAGATCATGGCCTGCACAATTTTTAGTGCTTTTAATGTTTTAATTTGCTTGATCTTAAATTATTTTAATTATCTTTTTATATATATAGCTCTGTAGCCCGTCTTGACATCCTGTGATGTAAAGTGGGCTGTAATTGTTTTAAATATATATATAAATAATAAATAAGTAATTTTCCATTAAGGTGCTCTGTGCTGTATGGAAAAGCTGTCTTGGCCAGGGTTTACATTTGGTTTTTAAATGGATCTGGTTTACTTTCTGCAAAGCATTGAAAACATCCAGAAGTCAAGCACTCCAGATGTATTCATATCAGTTGTGAAAATGCATACTATCTCTCCTCAGAAGATGCCGGCCACAGAGACTAGCGAAACGTTAGGAAGAACAACCTTCAGAACACGGCCAAAGAGCCCAAAAAACCCACAACAACCATTATACTATCTTTAATGCTAAAATCCTAAAATTGCACCAAGAGTGCAAATTTCATGTTGTAAGAGAGACTCTCCAGAATAATTTAACAATTGTAATAATACAAAATCTGAAATATTACTCCTAGGCTCTCACAGCCCTAACAGAAATAACAGGTGCTTTCTTCTTTTTTACATTGTGTATATTGGAAATGCTATCATATTAATAGTCATCTGCATCAATTCAGCTGACAGGGGCTTTCAGCAGATAGCTTCTGAAGATGAGCTGGGGTTTGGGACAGGTGTGGGGGGGAGGAGAAAATCCATCAGGTAATCTGGCCCATGACATTGAGGCTTCTGAAGGTTAATGGCAGGATTTGCAGTTGGGTTCAGAGACTGAATGGAAGCTAACAAACATTGCAAATTGTTCTGTTTTATTTTATCCCACCTTTCCTAGTGAGAGCCTGGGGGGGAGTGTTAACAATTTGGACAAACACACAGTTAAAAGAATACATTATTAATATCTAAAAATCACACATCTGATACCACAGATTACATGCATCTAAAATTACAAATATCTAAAGCTACAGGTGAAAATATCTACTAAAATAATATGAAAGCAAAACAAAGCAGCAGGCAAACCCAGCTGAGCACTTGCTTATTCCTCAAAATTTCTACAAATAGACACTTTTAAACAGGTGTTCGAAAAACAAAACTGAGATACGGTGGGAATGAAAGGGAGTTCTATAACTGAGAGGCAAGCTGTGACCAGCCCTAACCTGCCAATAATCTTTAAACTGCCCTTTAATTTCCCTGATAAGCCCAACTTCTAAGAATCCAAGTGGTTTTTTAAAAAAAATATCAATTATATAATGAAAACCATCTTTTTCATCAACTTTAAATACTAGACCAGTTTTATTATTGATAACCTTTCCTGAGTCACGTATAAGTATTACAGTATAACCATTTTTTACAATCCTTTTAGTACCAAGTAAATTATTTGAGGCTTCAGGGACAAAGGCAACATTTGTTAATGTAAGATTCACCACCTCATTTTTAGAAGTAAGAACTTTTAAACATACTGTTCCAGTTACAGGCACATTTAAACTTTGCTGGTTTGCTTGCAATATTTTTGGTCTGTGCTCTGTATCAAGTTGACTGAAGCTTTCTCTAAATCGATAAATATGTATGAAACTGCCCACTACCAAGAAGCAAATGTCTCTTATCATCCACACCTTCATAATCAGATATTTGGAATACTTGGTTATTATTATGAGCAATTTTTCCATCATTGGATCTTTGCTTGTAACTCATACTTGATCTGCCTTGTGATGGTCTGAAATTTCCAAGACTGCTAAAATGTCCTTGAACACTAGGGGCCACACTTTCAATACAAGCACTCGCACCTCTGGGTATTTGAGCTCCTGTGCCTTTAAATCTGCAATATTTGGCAATTTGTCCAACCTTTGAACATGTGTAGCATTGCCCTTCTTTAGGATCAGGTCTCATTCTTAATATAGGCAATTGTTCAGGCATATTATCTATTGCCCTTTTAAGTCCAGAGTCTCTCTAATAGGCAATTGTATAATCCAAATCCACCTTTGCAGTACACTCAAGCATGGCTTTCTGATTTGCAAAAGTAAGTACACTAAGTGATATACAATTATGGAACTCAGAATCAGATATTTCTGCCCCTGCAGCTTGAAGCTCTGAGACAAATTTCAACATTTCATCCAAATGCTCATCAATGCTAGTTCCTTCTTTCATTCTCATGCTGTATAATCTTTCCTTCAAAATATTATATTCTTACTTGATTTAGTGAGGTATTTCCTTTTTAAAGCACCATAGAGCAGATATTTCTGCCCCTGCAGCTTGAAGCTCTGAGACAAATTTCAACATTTCATCCAAATGCTCATCAATGCTAGTTCCTTCTTTCATTCTCATGCTGTATAATCTTTCCTTCAAAATATTATATTCTTACTTGATTTAGTGAGGTATTTCCTTTTTAAAGCACCATATAGTCCTTTAGCTCAGGGGTCAGGGAACTTTTTTACCTTTTACCCCCCAAAAATGTATATATGCCGACATTACCCCCTTGATTCGAAAGGAAGGAAATCATACATTATTTG